ATTGGTGTTTGTGTACATATTAACAAAATTTTCGCATAAATTGTCATAGCCATGACTTATTTGAATCGGCCATTTTATCTTGGGTAAATTATAATGGTGAAAGAATTTTTAAAATCGGCCAAGTATTGTTTACTTGAATCAAATACATACAAAAATATAAATCTTTCCTCTTTATAATATTAGTATGGACTAGCTGTTGCTCGCGACTTCGAAATATAGCCTGTGATTCTCAGCGATAATGTAGCTTTCTAATGATGAAAAAATTTAATATAAATTAGCCTAGAAGTTTTTGAATTATTTCAATATACAAACAAAAATCCAAATCTCTCCTCTTTATAACATTATTATAAATATGGAAGTATAGATGTGTACGTATGTTATGTATCTGAGTGAGTGCGTGTGCGCGTGCGTGTGCGTGCGCGGACGCAGTGACCTTGTCGTACTGCATCTTGATGAAGCGCGCGATGTTCCCGCCGGCGAACTTGTCGACGCAGCCGATGCCGAGCAGCTGCACCAGCCAGCAGGCGCGCGCCTGCATCGCGCCGCTGAAGATGCAGCCCGGGATCTGCAGCAGCGCCTTCACCACCACCACGCACACGTTGTACCGCACCAGCCACGACCACCTTGGCACATCACAAACAACATTATTATTATTAATAATAAAAAAATCATCTATCCATACTCTATACTAATATAATAAACACAATATTTCGTGGCGTAGGATGTCAGCAATTACAACACACTTTGAATAATTCACTATATATTTTCACGCTATTAAATTTAGGGGGTAAATAAATCGGAAAAACCTTAATGTGGGAAAGGGACCATAAACTACAAGCTGACATCAAGGAAGCAAGGTTGCCATGGTAAAGGTAATTGTTATCCAATGTCAAAGTCTTTCGTTGTCATTGGTGCATTTGAATTTTGACATTTGCAATTTGACAAATGTAAACAATAAAATAAAGTTTTTATAATTTCATGCGGTTGAAGCCGAACAGGAACAGATCGTTATTACTAAACATAAATCTATTATTAACTTACCATTGTAAAATAGCTTCTTTTGGCCGTAGATAGAAGTCGGTGCCTTGCCAGAGGAATATGAAGGAGCCGATGAGATAGCCCATAGAGAAGAGGTTGACTCTATTAGTGCCGGTCATGAACATGATGGCCAGCGTCACCCACAGCATGCCCAGGAACACCATGCGCTTGATCACATCCAGCCACGACCTGGGACAAACATGGAACTAGTCACCATCGACATTACAACAGTAACATCCATCTATCGACGAATATATCCTCTCGCCAAAGACATCAAAGAAACATATAGACTAGATATTGCGAACAATACTACTAGTAACTTCTTTGAATGTTACTATGTTGTCAAGTTTAGTACGCCACCGTATTGACATGTTATAAAACATTTGACAAAATCATGATAAGCTCCATCTTTTGTTATAAAAAAAAATAAACAGTGTCACAAAAGAAGATATAAACATTTAAATACGATTTAGTGACACCTATTGGCAATATTTTAAATACAATCAATTATATTTTAAAAGATAGCGTTACTGAGGATCATGTGAAATGTCTAAAGAGAAGTGTCAACTATGCTTCCTCTATACACTTTGTTAATCTCTGGTTCGCGTATTGTTCGAACTCACCCGACGTAATCCAGGAAGTCCGGGACTGGGTTAACAAAGTTGGGCGTCTCCCAGTCCTTGCCGATGTGCTCGCTGTTGGAGCCGCCGGGGTAGGCCGCGCCGTGCGTGCGCTCCAGCCGGAACACGCGCAGCTGCCGCGCCGCGAACACCAGCAGGAAGTAGTCGAAGATCAGCTTCACGGCGTGCGGCGGCTCCGCGGGGTACGGCAGGTACAGCCACGAACGCACGTGTTTAATTTGCTGGAAAATTGGACCAAATTTACGTATTTGAAAAAGCAAATTTTTAACCACACATAAAGACATACGAAAAAAAACGGAAAAAGGGAGGGAGATTCGTTGATTAAACACAGGCAACACATCAGTTTTTACGGATGTCTGTGGGCAGGGTCATTTCGCTGTTTCCAGGAATTCAGGAAGCCACTTGTTCGTTTGGCATTTAACGATATACAAAAAAAGCAAGAAAGACGGTAAAAGAGGGAGAGAAAGACGAGAACAGAAGCCACCCCCCCCCCAAGAGAGAATTGAGAGGAAGCGAGGAAAAGGGAGAAAGGGTGACAAAAATATTCCAACCTGTGTTTCCCCACTCCAGGGGAACTGCAGACAGAGCTGGGGCAGGAAGCCGACGGAGAGCATGTACTGGAGGGGCACGAGCACGGTGAGGCAGGCGGTGAAGGCGGGCCACACGCGCGCCAGGCGGGCGCGCGCGCACGACACCAGCGCCAGCAGCCAGCCCGCGTACACCGCCGCGTACACGTCCATGCGCGACCCGATCACACCCATCAGGCAGATCAGGCAGATCTGCGCACGACACCACAATCACAAGCTACGTTTTAATTAAATACTAGCTATCGCCCGCAACTTCGACAGCGTCAAATTAAAAAAAATGTAGGTAGCCTATGTATTCTTCCCGTCTATGTTCTATATCTGTGCCAAATTTCATCGGGATCCATTCAGCCGTTTAGGCTACAAATTGTAACAAATATTCATCCATCTTAACTTTCGTATTTATAATATTAGTAAGAAGCAAGATTCCAAATCATTTTATATGCAATTTTTTTTTATTTGATATATAGTATGAGTAATTTTTTCTTACCTCAACACCAAATTTGTAGAAACCATAATTAACCAAGTACTTGACACAGTGCATTAAATCTTTGTCTGCCTCTTTTCGTGTCACTTCTGGGAACATTAATTTTTCCGCACCGCTTGGCACAAGACCTCGATCTCTATAAAATAAAAAAGAATTATATGACATTGGCAAATCTTTAGATTGAAATCTTGCATATAATTCTTATATGCCAGTTTTTAAACTGGCATATAAGAAATATATGCAAGTTTTTAGGATAAAAAAAAAACAAAATCTTAAAACAAACCTTATATTCTTCTGTCGGTAACTGACAAGCGAGTAGAAAGTAAAAACTGCGATAAGTCCGATATATCCTTTGAGCAGCACCACCAGGGGGCGGTCGTGTGTCGCCTTGTAGAAGCCCACCCACTCCGCGTTGTTGTACGTTGTTAAGTTATAATCAAACTGGAATATTAACAAATAAACACATAAAAAACAATATTTTTACCACTGGCAACAAAATAAGATTAAAAAACAATACTCACCGAAGTGCAATTAACGTCAAAATATGAATGCTTGATATATTCAATTTGATATACCATTTTCGCCATTAGGTATATGCTGATAAGGGTCGATATCAACAGTACGCAGAAACGTTGTTTCCGAGAGTTCAGTAAAAGAGCTGGTGAAATTATCAACATGATAGGTACATGCATGGCACACACCTAAAACAAAAGGGAGTATTTAAGAGCACACCTTTATTTACTCTGGACCTTTTCTCCAGAAGGTCCAAAATATCCGAATTTTAAATTACTAGATAGCATGTAACAATTTTTAATCTTCTTTTAACTAAATTAATGTACAATCTGCTGCATGAATTTTCAAAAACATGTATGGGCGTGTCTGTCCGTAAATCTGTCATAGGTGTAGAGGATATACTGGAAGAACATTTATACTACTTAATTTTTTTTATTTTACGTGGACGTTCTCGCGGACGAAACCTAGTGAATACATATTATCAATGGACAAGTCATACATATTTTTGGAACCCAAATCTTACACAATTTTATTAAAGTACTCTAAATGTCATATTTATGATTGGCTAACTGTCGCCCGCGACTCCATCCACGTAGAATCCTCTATATCTAAACCAAATTTCATCAAAATCCGTTCAGCCGTTTTAGGTACAAACTCTAACATCCATCTATCTAAACATTTGCATTTATAATATTAGTATGAAGTATGATAGTAGAAAGTTGACATGTGTATGTGGGTGTGGCACTCACGTTCATGACGCAGAGCAGCATGAGGGCGAGGAAGATGACCTTGATGAGGTGCAGGTCGAGGAAGAGGAAGGCGCGGTCGGCGGCGCGCTGCGCGAGGTGGCGCGCGCGGCGCAGCGCCGCCAGCAGCCAGGGCTGCAGCGTGGCGGCGCGTGAACCGCGCGACAGTCGCGAGCCGCGCGACATGTGCGACGTGTGCGAGCCGCGCGACCCGCGCTCCGCGTACGACCGGCTGCGGGACGACTTCCTATACAAACGGTCTATCTTAAGTTTTCTCTCCCCATGTGGCTTCATCCACATGAAATTAAACACTTTTATTGTTTACATTTGTCAAATTGTCAATTGAAAATGCACAAATGACATTTAAGAACTTTGACATTGGATAACAATTACCGTTACCATGGCAACCTTGCTTCCTTGATGTTGACTGTAGTTTTTGTCTCTTTTCCGCATTACAGCTTTGTCCCGAATGATTTAATTCCTAAGTTTAATAGCGAGAAAATATATAACCTAAAGCGTGTCCAGTGTAGGTCTTTTTATTTAAAAACATATTAATTCAAAAAATTATGATTTCTGACTAAGTTGAGTGTATTTGTTCTTTATCATATTGTATAGATAAAAAAGTGCATATTTTGAGCTCAAGTAAACTGTACAAAACACTAAGTTACCTATGTAAGGAGCGTTTGGAGTCCCGAATGTTGTCCGTTTTAGAGGTCTCCCAGCTGGGGCCGGGGCCCGCTTGTTCTTCTTCAAGAGGTAGTGCCGGAAACTGAAAATAAACAAAATATTTAATAAACATATATAAAACAATATTAATTTCGTATTTTGTTACTAAACAGTTTTCTAGCGGAATAGTAAATTGTCATACATCTTTTATTGTAGAAGTACCAGCTTGGCTCGGATGACTAGATTCTCTTCGAGTCGCGACACTGTTTGTTCTACAATTTAAAAACATATCAGAAATTTTATTTAAATGTATTAATAATAAAACAATACTAACTACAATAGTACTTACGTAGTGTTAGGATCAGAAAGCGCCAGAAAGTCTTTATGGAAGTAATGAACCTGCATTATTGTTATAATGAGGAACAAAGTAGGCGTCAACAGTTTGACGAACAAATCCGCGGGGTGATATGGTTCCAGGCCTAAATCGTGCTGTCTGAAATAAAAAAACGTACAAATAAATCATACAAATATGATAAATCCGAAAGTTTTTTTTTATTACATAAGGTGGCAAACGTGAAACCGGCGACCTGAAGGCGCCAAAATAGCGAAGGGACCGCTGCCCATAGACATCAGCAATTGCAGATGCGTTACCTACCCTTAGCCGACGGAGGAGGAGACGCACATAAAGAGGACATTTCCCTTTCTTATGCATCTCCTTCACCGTCAAATGCACTTCCCATCCTGTACTTATAAGAAAAGTATGGTAAAGAGAAAGGGACTTAAATTAGGGCTCCGGCACCACACTCATCAGACGAAACACGGAATTGCTTCCATTTCCCGCCTGTCTTCTGTGTGGTCGTGGTATTACACCGGGCGAGCTGACCCATTCGTGCTAAGAATTTAAAGCGGGCACTGTAATAGTTTACATGGATGTATGAATGTTTGTTAGAGTTTGTAGCCTAAACAGCTGAACGGATTTCGATAAAATTGGCACAAACGTAGAGGTTAGTCTGGAAGGATACATAGGATAGTTTTATTTTTTAAATTCCACGCGTACGAAGTAGCGGGTGAAAGCTAGTAGAAACTAAAAATCAAAACATAATAATAAAATTTATAGTTTTACTTACAATCTCTCATTGATGAGAAGATATTTCTCTATCATCTTCGAAAAGTTGTCGAACTGATATATGTAAATGAGTATAAGATTGATCATCGAGTATATGATGACAGTTATCCAGAACATGTACATTAGCCGCCGCCACCAGTACCAACTTATCTGTAAAAAAAACGAACATTTAAGGCCTGTCCCACCACTAGATGATAGAGGCTCAGATAGCTCAAACGTGACGTCACTCTCATATAAAGCACCAAAATCCAATATTTCCATCACATATTTTAAACGTTTGATTGCTATCAGACAATTTACAATTTGAACAGGCCTTAACTCTCCAATTACATAACACTTGCAGTTGCTCGCGACTACGAACACTGGGAATTTAAAAAATTTAAAAAAACATAATCTATGTTACTCACTGATAACGTAGCTTTTTAATGGTGAAAGATTTATTGAAATCGGCCCAGTAGTTTTTGAGTTATTTCAATACATTTAAAGAAAATCTTTCCTCTATAACGTTAGTAGAGATGTACTAATACTAATAATATAAAGAGGAATGATTTGTATTTTTGTACTCATTGAAATAAATCAAAAATTCTTTCACTTAGAAAGCTACGCTATCGCTGAATTACGTAAGCTATATTTTGAAATTTCAAGTGGACGAAGTCGCGAGCAACAGCTTGTATTGACTAAAGATAAGACAGTAGACATAGTAGCACATACTTGAAACATCAATATGAAGGCGAGGAAGAGGAACATGTAGATGATGCGGAAGATGGTCATGCGGTCGCCGGTGACGCCGATGACGAAGAGCATGATGACGACCACGTAGATCCAGTAGCGGGCGCACGCCGCGCGCAGCCACGCGCCCAGCGCGCGCAGCAGCCGCGACCGCGGCTCCTCCCCGCCCGCCTCCGCGCCCGCCTCCGCCGCTACATCAATCACACACGAATGTAATCAACTAATTGTTCCCGTACGAAGCCGTATGACATTATAAAAACCTAATTGTTTACATTTCGCAATAGTTTATTTGCAAATGTCAAAATTGAATTATTGAATATTGAAATTGAAATTTGAATTTTAACATTTGACAAAAGGCAAGCATGGTTCATTGCTGCTTTTGGCTTGAAGTTGTTGTCCCTTTCTGACATAACGGATTTGTCCAATTTGTTAACTCTTAAATTATTTAGCGTAAAGACATATTGCCTATAGCGTACCGAAAGTGAAGGAAATGTAATTAAAAAAGAATGATTCAAAAATATGTTGTGACTACGACATCCCATATAACAAAAAAGTATGTGGCTGTATTGTATTAGTATGCGAGTATATAGATATGATAAAAATGTACAATCACGGTAATCCGCGATGTTTTTCTGCACGAAGCAAGCGGGGCCTTTGCTTACGAATAACCAATTAAGTGACAATGAATTACACAAACGACGGGATAATAGTTACCGGCGCCTGCAGTGGAGGCAGTAAGGTGCAACGGCGCAGCGAGGTCGGCGGTGGCGGTGGCGGTGGCGGTGGCGGCGGACTGGCGGCGCACGCGCAGCTCCTGCACGCGCTGGCGCAGCGTCACCCAGAACATGCACGTGAACAGCGACTTGATGAGCAGCGGCACGCACGGCTCGCCCTCGCCGCGCCCCACGCCGATCTGACGCAGGTTCACCTCCTGCAACACATACATATATCAAAAACTATATATACACAAACCAAGATTTCAAAAATATATAGAGAAAGCTTGGTTGACAATTCACTTGAACATTAATCACATAATCTCACTAGCGCTACCTGGTATCCCATAGTCCAAACACACAAATAATTTAAAACACTGAAAAGCGTCTCAAATTAGACATTACCATCGAAAGAAGTTACCGATGTGAAAAAATATTATTCCCTATGTCCAATCTATATATTTCTTAAGCTTCTTTGACACAAATAAACAAAACTGTTGAAAAAAGTCATGGTGGTCCAAAAATAAACTCTCACAAGACACTTTTTACTCCTGTTCTAACACTAATAAACGTACCGTTATATTGGACGGTAGTTCGCTTTCGTATAAGTTCATGCCGTATATGTACTGCGCGAGGAGAAGCAGCATGGCATAGAAGACCAGCACGGGGCTAGTCTTGAGCATGAAGGAGCGCTGGTTGTGGCACAGCCAGACCATGTTGGCCCACATCAGGAACACGAAGGTCAGCCATGAGTGGAACATTATGCTCCAAGCCATCATCGTGATCGTCGTCGCTATATACGATGACCTGTTGCAACATCACAAAGATTACTTCATCGCAGAATACCTGAAGTTCTTATGTTCGAGTGCATTTTAGTACCTAGCCAGTAAAAAAAAAAATTAAAAATACAGTTCTTCTCTGGTTAATAGTTATAATAAACATATTTTAGAGTACTGCAAACGCAATAATGATCACAGGTTTTCTATACTTTTATGTCATATTGTGTTATATTTACATACAGAACAATCGATATTTTTTATGTAACTTGATTTAATATGGAACTCATGACATTGGCCGTGTTAAAACAAATAAGGAAGGCCTTGTCATAGCGAAACGTGAATACAAATGTACACCTTACAGCATTATTTAGTTAATTTATATCACACAAAATACTAGGCTCATATGATATGATGTACAAACCAAAATTAACGAATACACTTTGTGAATTTATAAAAACTCTATTTAATCTTACCTGATCAGGACTTGGAAAAAGTCTATAATAGCTGCCACTACGTCATCCATTAATGTCGGCTCTTCTTCTTCTATTACAGATTCTAAAAAGGAAAAAATCATGTAGGACAGACGAAAACAACAACAGCACCAAAAAACTAGCTCATCTTTCTTCCCCTCTGTTTTATTTATCTACCTTCTTTGTTTAATTGGATCATTCTGTTGGTATTGTCTATTGATAGTGATTGTTAAAACGGCAAACAGCTAATGATTGGCCACCTGTCAAAAATATTACCATCATCAGGGACAACAACGGAGCCCGTGGAGTCCTGGTGCAGCTGCCGCGAGCCGGAGCGCGAGCGCACGCTCGGCCAGCGCCGGCTCGGCGACGTCGCGCTTATCAACTGTCAACACGTACATAACCTTAAAATTTCTACATTGATCCAAATTTATATGCAAGCGTTCACAAATTACATACGTTAAAGCGTTTGAATTTACGATAAATGTATGACATTCTATAACTCGTTGAATAATTTTATTCTGTGAATAAATGTGAATTATAGGTTCTGATAACGAACAAAGAGAACCTCAGTTGGCCAAACAAGTTCTGGAAGGGTCAATATCGAATTAAAATACCTATTATTGTATAGGGATTTCAAAAAACAATTCTAATTACTAGTAAAAGTTTTACCAACAGTCAGTTTTCTTTACTAAACATAGACATTATGACTTCCTTCAAAAGTAAGTAGTTTGCAGTAGTAAAGATATATAAACAAATGCTTTTTGACACGATTTACATAATCATGGCTTCCGAACTAGGATACTTCTTTAAATACGACAAATAAAGTAATATTATTATAAGTATGTATAATTAAAATGCAACGACAAACATCAACATGTTAATGATGTGCAAAACAGGACAACAATGGGCAAGCGTGATCAGCGTCAATCATGATTATAGACAAATAAATTGAAAAAAAAAGCGATAAAAGCAGACAAAATAGATGTCTCGAAATCTTTTGCAGCACAAAAAGCAAACGTAAAAACGAAAAGAGATAGAATATACATACAGGTGTGTTCTCACCGACGTCCCGTCGCAGTGCTTGGGAATTTATGTATGAATATGCAACCTACAAAAGAATTAAAGCAGGTTGCAAAAACAACATATAAAAAGTTAACGGAAATGACGCCATACATTAAAAAACTGAATCCGGAACGCTGAAAAAGGTTAGCACGAGACATGCCCTCTCATATATCGTGTTTAGCTGATGCATGAGGTGCAAATATTAAAGGTGCATAAAAATGTTACAAAAAAACTAACACATTTCTATAAATTTATGAAACTAATAAACTAAGTTCTAGACGCATTTTACAGCTACAAATAAAACGGTGCGACGTTCATTGAACTTCATTACGTGTGTAAATAAAATTAAACAGTACTCTAAAACGATACTAGTGCACAAGTTCGCGCGCGCTTACTCGAACTTTTTTAGTCGCGCTCTTCCATTTGTCCTTTGTATGTCGACGGCTGCGGTGAAACGACACGCCGCGCACCAAAGAACCGTTCACCTTCCCGGCCTCTACGCCGGTTAAGGTCTTTCTCTTCGGCTACACCCCCCCGGTTAGGTTGCACAAAAAGAAAATTACTATAACATAAGGTGGCGAATCCAACGTCTACGGCAGCGGTACGAAGGCGATTCAAATTATACGGCGTCAGTGTTACAGCCAAACTCGAATAATGAGACTAAAAGCGTATGTTTAATTATGTTAGTAAGAGATCTTATAGTATCGTATCATTGCTATTGTGAAACTTCAATGTAGTACATACCTTTGGCTTGAACAGTTCGCGGCTTTCGATCGCGAGAAAGAAGTAAGTAAAGAGGATGACTAAGGGACTGGCGAGGGTCGCCCACATGTGGTCGTCTGTCACTTCGTATGTAAAACCATCTAAATCTGTATCATTTAAGATTACTAATTTTGTTAAACCGAAGTATCTGAAACAATAAAAATATATAATTATATCATGCACCACAAAATACTTAGTAATAATTCCGCAGCGAGAAGAAACTTAGGGAGTTAGTTGTTTTATTTAAGCCGAATACTGACCTAGCAAAGTTCTCATCCGGTGGGTAAACGTCGATGATCCAAGAACACTGATATAGGAGTAGGATAGTGATGTGAACAGCCATAATGGCCATGATACAGCGACTGACGACCGCAAAGCCGCGCTCCAGCGGCCGGCCCAGCGACCACGCCGTCGCCGCGCTCATGAACACCAAGAAGTAGATGCCCGAAGTCACACTCGGACGCATTATTCCAGAGAACATAATCAGGAATAACGCTATGTATTTGCCTGTCAATCACATTTTAATTATAGACTTTCCTACGAAGCTCCATTTCCCACAATCATGTGTTAATATCAAAATTTTAAATCTCTCGGTACAGTTTGCTTATTAAACACATTGTTTACGTTCCTATCACTGTCATTTTGGCAACATAAATTTTCCTGGTTTCTGTTTCCACATCGGTAAAATGTTTCCTAAGCAATTTATTCAGAACGAATCGGAAAACATTAAAGTAGATAATAAATGTGTCCATGATGTCAATAGATTTTTTAAGTTTCTAAACAATTTCACGCTGCTCCAGACGGTTCTGATTCACGCATTTTATATTTAGCTTCTAAAATAAACAGTACGCTTCGATACTACTGAACTCAATTCTTATCATTCACTTGCGTTAAATTGCAACTTACTATATGATATGCATCTGTTTTTACATAAAATAAGTACATACTAGGTGCAGATTAAATATACCAACTCTTAACCCAATACTTAAGCACAAACGTTCACACTCAATAAATTACTAGAACTCATAATGTGGGAGAATGTGGTTTATCAAGATTCAGTTGCATTACATTACTATTCTGAACGGGCAGATTTATAGCGCTTACATAGTAGAAACGTTACCTGCACTGGTGAGCAATGGATACCGCTGGTGTTTGGAGTCCTTCCTCGGCAGCTCATCCGTGTTGTTCACGGCGAGTAGTCGTCGTACCACAAGGTATACTGTCAGCGACGTGACAGTTGCTACAAGCTGAAAACATTTTTTTTTATAATACGAGGTGGCAAACGAGCAAACGGCCACCTGAATCCACCGAAATGGAAAGCGACCGCTGCCCATAAACATCCGCTATTGTAGATGCATTGCCTACCCTAATTGACGGAGGAGGAGACGCACATAAAGAGGACATTTCCCCTTCCTATGCATCTCCTTCACCGTCCAATCCACTTTTTCCTCCCATCCTTTCGTCTTAAGAAAAGGGTGGAAAGGAAAAGGGACTAAAATTAGGCCTCCGGCACCACACTCATCAGGCGAAACGCGGAGTGGCTTCCACTTCACGCCTGTTTTCTGTGTGGTCGTGGTATTACACCGGGCGAGCCGGCCCTTTCGTGCAAAGATGTTAAAGCGGGCTCTACCACTGTTGAATCAGTACAATGAAGTATGTAATATCTTCGCAACCAACGTTGAACATCATAAGAAAAGTAACATGCATACATATGGCTGTCCTGTTCCTAAAACATTTTGGCAATTAAAATTGCAATTAACAATTTGTTTATAGATGTTGTAACCGACAGTCGAATTCAGGTTTGTATCGTGTGAAATTTAAAACAAGCGTCCGGATGCTGAGCATAAAGCGATACGTAATTTCATCATAATTTAATAATAAAACAAACATAACAAATATCTTCATATTCATAATCGTAGATATGAAAACCGTTCCAATTAAAAAGGCAATTATCAAGTAGAAATTTAAATAAGATTACCTCTGGTGCGACATAGTGTACCGCCATAAGGGGTTCGATGTCGGCGAAGGAAACAAGACCGAGGTTGTAGCCGATGTGTTTTAGCAGCGGTAGTTTGTCCAGCAGCGAGCCGTAGGGAGCGAAGGCTGCCAGCACGCTGTGCCATGCCGCATGCGTCAACAGCACCAATAGGGATACCAAGAAGTTCAGCAATAGGAACTTGCCCCGCCATCCTACAACATGGTGTATTTATTCTTTTGTTACAAATTAATATAAAAGTCGATAGTACAAAGAACTTTTGTTTTAAATTAGAAGGTGACAAAAGAACAAACGGTGATAGCTCAACATTGTATAGGTTTGATTAACGTTATTTTCTCAACTTCAAAAAAATCTTTTAAAAGTGTATTTTACGTTAATTTATCTATCAAACGCGGACAGACGTTCTTCTTAACCCAGGGCAGAAATAGTAAGCACTTAAAATGTAAATAACATTTTAATGGATACCACAAGGTTTTTTACTCACAATTACCAGAATTCAAGGCGAATATTTGAATGCTGAGCTTTCTCTTACGTACACAAAATGCTTAGTTAAAATCAAGTAGCTAGTTATTTTTATCATTTCTACAATCTCCTGCTCCTTTATAGAAATCATAGTATATGGAAACAATTGTTAAATGTTGTCGCCTTAAGATTCTTCAATGACAGCTTCTTCTCCAACTTAGCTGTCTTTCTCTTGTCATGGACATGAAAGTGGTTGAGCAAAGCGATCTATTGCTTATTGGCATCCTTATTCTATAACTAAGTGATGTGGTGGAAGTTGGTACTTACCGGAATATGTCTTGGTGTCAGGCACTTGTGCTAGCGGTGCTATTAAGTACAGCAGCAAGTATATTAATGACAATCCGAACGGTCGCAGGGCTATAGCTGTAACAAGACATTAGATTCAGTGAGATCCACGTTTCGATACCATGAAATCTCAACGTGATGAACAATAATATCCGTGAGTCATGTACGATCAAAAAAACGTAATGTGTGAATTTATAGTATGTTTCTAAAAACATGGATTAAAAAATTAATTGAAACTCAGTTATTTTGCTTTTAGATGATTCAAATCATTACCGAAAGATGATGATGATCATTGTTTTCATCATAATTACCGAATACGTGGTAATAATATTGTTAGGAAAAATTGTAGGGGTACAATTTAGGTCTAGGGTTAAAGTTCATCTATTGGATGAGTTCATATTAGAAGATATCATTGATTACTCTACATCTTCTTTAACAGCGCGAACAGAAATATCCGTCTGAGATTTTGTTATTGTAGTCTAGTGTTATCGACTGACCTATAAAGATTAGGTACCGGAGATGTGGCAAAAGGTCAGACGTAAAATTTTAATACAATGTAAGGTGTTGTTAAAATCTTCGAGTTATTACAAACAATTTATCATATGCGATAACTTCAAGTTTTATAGATCTTTATCCAGATATACGTTCCCCACAAACTATAGCAGTCCCCAGTAATCTGATTTGGCACATGGACATGGTACGTGTTTAAAATATTAGCTTAACTTGTAACTGTTTTTAATAAAGTAATTACTTAAATAATCAAAGCAAGGAACACGATTTATACTCGTTGGTCCAAAAGGCAGAAGACAGTACAAACCTTGAACTTTTGTAAATTGTACGATAATAATTTGTAGCAAATGATACAAGATAAAAAATATAAGGAGTATCGGGCGGGGTCTTCAGTCGATAGTAAACGTATGTTCCAAGCGGCGAACTCCTGTTTCGGCTGTCAGGCCTTGACCGGCTTGAGTTAACGCACACGAATGTTGAAGGTATGTTTAAACTGACATCGCCGTTGTATATTTATTCAGTTAGTTAAAATACATGTTAAATAGTAGTGGTTGAGAATATGCGGTATGCAGACAGTTTATTTCATTGTATATTTTTAAATTGGGTTACAAAACTAATCAAATAATGCAGTTATCACAAATTTTGACGAATAAATTAAAAAAAAGAAAGTATTTAAAACCACTTTCTATTGAACATCACAAAAATCATTCATTTGATCGTTAAAGGCTTGGTAGAAGGCCATCAAAAACAGTCTTACTAATCCCACTAATATTATAAATGCGAAAGTTTAGATAGATGGTTGGATGGATGTTTGTTAGAGTTTGTAGCCTAAACAGCTGAATAGATCTCGATGAAATTTGGCACAGACTTAGGGGATAGCCTGGAAGAACACAGGCTACTCAATTTTATTTTTTTTTATTCCACGCCGACGGAGTCGCGGGCGAAAGCTAGTCATTCATAAAACTTCGACTCGTTCATTCGAAATGACGATTTGAATAATTATTTTTCTTCTTTCAACAGTCACGGTAACAGGTTCGTAGATTTTTTTATAAAACGAATATAATGCGTTTTGGTATTATTTATGGCAGAAGTCCGGCCAATTTAATTAAAAATGGTATAATAAAAATTAACAGTCATAACATTATCATGTTTTTTATTATTTTTTGCAATAAAAAGAATCGGATTCAGGATGTAGGAGTTCCGTTTATTTAAATTCCGAATATATTTTAATAGCGATTCTTTTGGCTTCGAATTACATAGCTCAATATTACAAACAAGAAAAAGTTGGAAAGATGCTATGAAAATAGAAAACAAATCCACTATTACGATAAACTCCATCGGGATTCAGAACGAAATGTCAGTGTAACATTTCGCCATCGCACACCGCCACCGCGGGAATTTGTTCTGCACCGTTTTACATTCGCCCCATTTTACCAACTACCCGATGCTTCCGAAGTGATATTAAAGGAAATTATTTTCATAAACAACGTTTTGCCTTTGAAGTTCATTTTTAACGATTTCCCGTACTTTAATGCTAAAGAATTACGCACATACACTCATCTTTATTACAACGACGTCGTAAATTAATAAACGTTGGTTATAATTGAGTGGAGGTTAGGTTACTTAATTGAATAATTGCGAGTAGGCGTCTGCCAAATCTGGGATATTACATACAGTTTTGGAATGCAACATTCTCACATTTATTAGCGTTGTCTTAAAAGGAAGTAATACAGGTATATGATATTTCAGATGTGTCAAGTACATCGTTCATTGTTGAGCGTTATCAATGAATCATTGTGTCTAGAGTTAAGTAAACAGCCGTAAAAGATCAGTTACTCATTTAATAATTCGTTTTGTTCGTAAACTTGAATTTTCTAAGTGAACTACAATTTAAAACGTTATAAAAGCACAAAATTCACTAGATTTTCAGGCGACAAATCTCTTTTCTCTTCTCATACCGCATCTATCTAGGAATAAACTAAAGAGAATCAATGATACTCTAGTAGGTACAACTAGGAACTTAGATACTAAATTCAACTGAACTCTATAATAGTACGGGGTATGTAGGAATCCTTACAATCAAGCCGCCATGTTCCATGGGGAGACAAGGCTATAGACATGCCTACACGTACTACCAAACCACAAACACATTCGTAAGTACATAGGGTAGATATTACTATGTATAATATCTCGTAAAACATAGACAAGGTAAAACGAGCATTTGATATATTGAAGCTGGGTGTGTATTCTTTTACTCTCAATAAACGTTGTAACTCGTGAACTGCGTGGGCGGCGCGTACATTAAAAATACATCTCACTGTCGATGCTCCCACAACTATCAGCTTGTACAACGCTACTCATATTGTAAACGAAAAAAGCAAGATTAAGATTTATTTCCTTAGATTATAGCTGCGATATCAAGTGAAACTGAAACACAAAGGGGCAGGAGTTCCTTAGGATAGGAAACTTAGACCGTTAAAACACCGCAAAGGAAGCATTGCAACAAGCATTATGACATACATTTTTATCACGTATGCATTTATCTTTTGTGTACATCGTTTGTCTTCAGAATGTTGCAAACGTGACCCGGCTTTTAACAAACTATCCGTCTTGTAAGATAATTTGAACGCCAGTGAAATGTGCATCGGGGAAAAAATGTGTCAAGAAATTCAGTGGCTTTCCTATAATAAATAGAAAGAAGAAAAATTGTGAACTTTTAAATTCAAATGTGATAAAAACAACCTGACATAATATTGATACACATAAAAAATTAAATATTAAATACTCTACAAAAATCAAGCATTACAATAGTGTTCCAAATTCTACTAAACGTCGAATCCAATAAGAAAGTTTGCAGCGAGGTGCAATAAGAGCAATGGGACATAAGAACCGTTATAATGAACTGTTTCTAGCCATCAGATAGGAACGTGGAAGGGCTTCGTACAACCGGCTCTAACCGAGGCTATAGAATGACCTATTATTATTGCGCTATTGTTTCCTTTATTAGGTCCAAATATCAATATTATACATACTGAGTTTAGGCTCCTGAGAACAAATGCAAAATTTGATGATTTAGTGGATTTCAAATTTTACTCAAGCTATTTATGTATTTCGGTACTAAATCTATTGGTGACTATATGGTGATTTACCTAACATAAATAACGCAAATAATCAAAAGATATACTTTGTAACTATGCGTTTTATATTATGAGTAGTCAAGATTTTCCTCGCAGAGCTTTTTCATTGCTATATTTTGAAATCTAAAAATTACAGTACTTGAATATTTCTCATTTATTTTTGTGACGTAAGTTGGTAAAATATATTACGGATTAGACCGTTGGCGCAGACGAACGTCGCCGTAAGAATGTAATGTTCAATACGTACGAGTACATATGTAAGTGCATTATTTTTATATTCAAAATCTAGAGTCTTCCGCAAGTTTAATTGTAGAAATATTCAACACTCATGTAAATAGTATCTGTAGTCTGTAGTACATCCTCAAATGTTTGTAAGAAATATTTTTTTTAGTTTAAAGTTCATATAAATATTTCAGAACCAAACAGAACACATATGTTACGAAAAACATTAACTCCGTGTGACTCATTTCCTAAAATATGAAGTAAAAGTTAAAAATATTTGGGCTATGCAATTCCGCAATTCGTTCGCTGACACAAATTGAAATTAGATCTGATGCAATTAAATCTTTCGTTTTAATTTACTACGATTATCTACACAACATATTTTTTATGATTGTCTCTATTCATTCATATTCCTATATCACTGATCTTGCGCCGAATGTTTTCTTTTTCTTAAATTTTGACTATTTAGAAATTTTCCTTTACGTGCTATTGCTAGAAATAGTATAGATTTTCAACTACGTCATAATTCTTTAAACCAGATAAAGGGCACTTGATCTTCGTATCGCTTTTCTATGTGTAATGGATAACCACTCTATTCTTGATAATTTTCACAGAAACTCTATAAACACTTCAACATGGTTATTTTGTTACTTCATTACCGTAACACAAACAATACGTATAGTAAACCCTGATTACTTTATGCCTTTATATGGATATTGTATCCAGTTTCTTAACAGAAAACTAACAACGATCGTCTTATCAAAAGGGATGGTCAGTGATATTTTTTTAAGACCTTGCGACCAAATTTAATTGGAAAACCTGATCTTTGACACCAAGTCCAAGTAGCAAATGATTATACTCTATCAAAATATATAACGTTTAAAGTAGAAGAACGTCAGAAATAGGACACGGAAAAACTTTAGCGGTGGTAGAATTATCCTTAGGTAGTTTGTCAAGACATGCGTGATAATCTGCAATAATATAGGTAAATGGCACCGGCCTTTTATCGCGAACGAATGCAATCTTACATTGGTTCCGCTATGATAATATCGATAAGCGAGTTTTCGTTACATCTTTTAGGAAGCCAAATAACATTTAAATCCCCTAATGAAAAGTATAAAAAGATTAACATCGATTAAACCGTCAAATTAATATGAAATTTCTTTGGTCCTTGTGTAGATAGGATAAAAACATCATACTTATACTAATTGTTTATGGTTTTGTTAATGTAGTTTTAGTTGGGAACGTGTCATTAACTGCATTTGGAATCGAGTCGGATTTTGATAACAGATCATCCATTAACAGAATCTATAAAAAATTAAGTTGTAGCGCGAATACTACATATTGTAAAAATGTTTTCTTTTTATCATACTTTCAAACACGATGCACTTATGTGCACCAGTTTAACAATCGGTCGGTGTTTTATCGCGATTGCGTTATCAAAACTATCTTTTCGCGACACGGTTTTGTCAAAACATATTAGTCAAAAGTAAACGTTTAATACTAAATACTTTAAAACTGATTTCTCACCACTTTCTCAAAAAAATATTTGTTATGATTATGACATAACTTTTAATTTCGAAAAATCGATCTTAAAAACAGTCGCAAAATTTTGGCTGGCATGCTTTAAGAAATATTATGAATGTGCCGGCCAATATCTCGGTGTTAAAACAAGCGTGTTCCGTGTGATGAGGTCATATTTAATGTAGGCAGTCGGTTAACCAGTTGAACTGTGAGTCGACCTTGTGATTCAGGCGGCCGATAAGGCGTTCGATGCCGAATGTTGGCCAATACTAGGCGCATCACTAACGCGTATTTACGTTAATTTGCATTTGCACTTTGAATGAACGGTACCTCTGTTATAGCTATTCGCGCATCATTAACACATAAACAAATTCCAGGAATACGATTTCATTAAAAATTTGCCTGCGATATAGAACACGATTTTTATTGATTGTGCAAATTAGGGTTTAAAGTTGTCGTGTTTAAACTTTTTATCGATAAATTGATAGCCTATAGTCTTCACTAAACTAGTCGGTACACATATCAGCCAAATCACGAAACACGTGTTTTCAGAGAGTGGTAAACATAAGGCTTGAGAGCTTAGAACTGTACAGGTTTCAAGTACCGACATTACTTGTGAAAATTAAAAAAAAACTATAGAACGAGGAGTGATAAATTAAATACAATTGTCAAGTATAAGTTGATATCAATAAATCAAAACAAGATGAAAGTCCATTAGTTAATAAAGTTGTGTAAGTAATCAATGTGAGTAACATTGGCCGGCCAGTGGCCACCGACGCTTTTTAATCACAATTACAGCCACACCCGCCATCCCTGCCCTGGATGACTGCATCAGTTTACTTTATACGTGTAAATTAATGTTGATTTCATTTCGCGGGAAAGGTTTCGCGTGTTTTAATTAAGTGATAGACATACCTACATACACAATTGTAAATGTTTATGTGCATGTAATAGTGTTTATATCGTTGTGTGCGTGTAGTATGTGATTACACAAGGGAGTGTTCGCGATTACCCTCCTCCCGACCCCTCCGACCATCCGTGTCATATAACACAGATAGAAATAAAATTAATAGCAGACAATTAAATTAAAAGCGTAATAATAAAAAGCTCGCGTGATTAATTACATTTTATTAAAATGAGTTACTTTGAAATCTGTAAAACTGTGCGATTGGATATTAATTTATTTCATTCATTACTAATTACATACAAGATGTACTTGTTGTACGGTTATCTTATTTTGTATGTAATCAAATGCGTTTTAAGTAAAGTTTTTGAATCAAAATTTTACTTCACTAGAATACACAGCTATTGTTCTTGGCACAGCGCCGCAAAGGAATTGGGTTTATTACAAAATTGAAAATTTTATCACTACTTATATATACTATTGGCAAAATAAATTTTATTTACAAGATGAAGGAAATTCAAAAAAATAAAATAATTCTATGGGTCAATTAATTCAATCAAACCTGATCCACATACAAAACAATAATCGGATATTGGATAAATATCGGATATCGGATTCGTATTTCCTTGAAAAGTACGTTGCTATTTCGTTAAAGTTGCAATATCCAGTTTATTAGCAGCTGATACGGTATAGGGTTGACAAACAATGCCAAAAGCGACAAGCGCACTCCATTAACAATACAAACAGTTCTAATTTGGGTCGGTAACCTTTTGTAAGTACAAATAAATTCGATATTAAAATTAAAATAAAAAGCAATGTGCCCGTGACAGTTTTAATTATCCTTCATTTTCCATTTGCGTCGTATTTTCTAAACCATAATGCAATAGAAGGTCAATAAACTTTAAAACCATTATAATTATCTATGTAAGGTGAATATCAAAAGTTAAATATAAGGCCACGCACAAAAGTTTGTTTAAACTCGCACAAGGCGATTTTAAAGTTGTGCATGTTTGCATGTTTTTATTTTAAAACTGAATGTCCCTTAAAACCTCTAACGATCCCATTACACGCTGGTTGCTGCTTTACCACACAAAATTGTTTACATCAATGACATGTATCATCCATTTTTAATTAAGGTGAAAATTTAAGTAGAAAGTTACTCAAGTTACAATTAAAAAAGTCTAACTTACGTCATTCTGCTTTTTATAGTGATAAAATACTATAAAGCCCGCAACACAAGTTAAATCTAATGTGAGGAGGCAGAGTAGTAACTGAACATTTCTCAGTTTTGTTAGATTTATCTGATCGATAGGACTTCAGATACAACTGAGCGTGTATAACAGGCTTTAGTTGACTATTATTATAGCATCATAAGATTCGATTTGAGAACATAGCACTTGTATTAGAAATAGCTTTATAGCTCGCACGCCGCGCCGCGAGCAACTAGCCATGGTTGTAAACAAAGGGCCGGTCGGTGTTGTTCCCTAAATTGCTGGCTTTATGAGCCGTAGGGGAATTAGGGTCACAAAGCGAATTCTTTACGAGTATAGTATAGTAGAATATAGTAGTAGCACGCATTCTGCTTTATAATGCAAAACATTAAAGAGCTAAATCCTATAGTGATTCGGTAAGTCGCTAGACGAGCAAAGATAAAGATTCAAAAGTCATACGACATTTCTGATAGATATCTACCTTGTAATAGTATTATTTAACAATTTAAATATACAAGTGTAATAGCAAGTTTTACAACTACCTACGATACAACTAATTTTAAAATGCAAACTACCTCTTTCGCATCTTCTAAATCTATGTATTGATTCGTGCTAAATATTTTAATCTTTAGTATGTCATGAATATTATATTCAATTCATGCAATGACTTCCAAAATATAAATTACAGCTAAAATCTCGACAGGTTGATTTATACCAAGTGTCAAATGATACAGGAGTTGCGTGTTGTAAACATGCAAATTTCAATGAAAAGGCTCCGCGCAAGGCCAGGACATATCGGTCAGCGGGTCAAACTACGAAACGTGAAGACGCACCCTGAAGCGGCACGCCCTGAGGGATGCCTGTTACACTCTCAGCCCGCAATGCGACGACATTAAATCAAATCAACATGTTTTGCCCTGACTGATATGAGGATAATATTTTACGCGGGTATGCCTGATGAAAAGTGACCTGTAACCTACGACTTCACCGACTTTGGAGTCACAGTACAATTCAATTCGTATTGATAACCAGAGTAGAATGTCACATAACATAGGGCGTTTTTTTGCTTGATCAATTACCCTTTTTAAATAAAGACAATAAGAACGAAACGTAGTATCATTTCTGATTAGTCTAATGTTTTCGCGGGTAAGTCGTATCTAAGGTGTTTGATGTCATAAAACGCATAATTTAAAAACCGGTTTTAAATTTAAATCCGTTAAAAGATATTTTTTAAATTCTAGGAAATGACGGAATGAAGTTACATTTTTTGCTATTCCTGTCATGAGTTTTATATAATTTATGAATGTTAATGGCAAAACTTATGTATGGTACCGGCGCGCGGTGACGTAATCCTTATTTTGGTATTACTATGGAGATGTGGTGGGAATTCATAAAGGTAACAACAATGGAGTGACGCGAGGTCTAATCATGGACTATTATTTACATACATTTGTAAGAAATACTTTTGCGAAATTAAAAAAAAAAACAGCTTTATATAAACTTGTACTTATTATAAATTAGAGTATTTGTATTTTTGTTATTATATTTAAGTTACCCATAAATAACGACATAATACTAACTATATTTTTGGTTTATAAAGATTCTTTAATTATTCTGTTAAAATAAAAAAAAAAAACAGCTATTTTTTGCTGTCTATTTAAAATCAGTTTTAAGTAATAAAGTCATACGACTTTACTTTTTTAAAGGCTCCTTAAATATTTTTTTATATTCAAGGAGTCTTTTACCAAGACTATTTTTCAATAGAAATGATGCCTTGAGTATGTTTATAATTAAAAAATATAATGCAACAAACACTAACCCAGTAGAAGTCCTGCGGGTAGAACCAGCCTCACAAATATCACTGAAAGGTAGTATTGGTGCATGTTGCTGGCTGGAAAAAAAATGTTTTTATTTTTAATGGGTAATAATTAGCTTATGATCTAATGTTATTAAATGTTTAAATTCTATTCCTATTAACATGACTGGATTCAAAGCCATTAATTTCTTTTTAAATTGTTGTTTTTTTGTGAAATTTTTGTAGTATAAAAGAGTTTGAGTAAAATCTAGTTTTATTTTACACCTGCCGCAGTAAATTTTAATTATTTAACATTTAATTTAGTATATTCAATTTAATTTGTTATAATGAGTTTATATTACAAGTAGTTTGTAGTAAAGCATATTGCTTACTAACAAATACTTTTGAAATTATCAGAACATCTACTTTTAATGAAGTGCACATGTTAAGTGTAAGCAAAATAACAACTCAGTAAAAATGGAATACTAACTAAAATATATTACTTCTTACTAATAGGGTTTTTCAGTTCCAATGAGAAGTTATGTATTGTATACAATACAAATATATTTGTAGAAAAATGTACAAATTTTCAAAGTAAAAGTTAAAAATCAAACATGACCGGCTTTTAAACTAAAAAATTGCGTACCTTTTCCGTCAAAAAAATATTAAGAAGCAGGAAACTTAACCACTAGAATAGATCACAATCACGTTAAACTTTGAGAAGTTTTTGATATAGTAAATTTGCATCGTTTGCACACATTTTACGTTACACCATAGCAAAATTGCGAAACCAAAATACATATACACCTCCGCTCTCTTCGTCTTCGCGTAAAATATGACAATGACGTTTGATTGCTGTTTGACAAAGTGACATCAACTGTCATTGAAAAATGTTACCGGCTCTTTATTTTATTTATACTAATATAAAAAACCGGTACTTCGGTAAACTAATTAGTTTAAAAAGGAATACGATTCGTTAACTTTGGAGATCCAGAAGGAAGAACCTTGGTGTGTGCTGAGTAGAGTGGACAGATGGCAGGATAAGCAGGAGACAGCTCAATTGAAGATCAGCGGATCGAAAACAGAGCAATTCTTGTGCGACTTCAGCGGCTTATTCAAGAAAGGAGTGGTGACTGAAAAGAATGATAAAGTTATTTGAAAGATAAAAACCCGGTGCACCAACTCTACGGGAGTAGGATAAGGTAGGGGAGACGATGAGTTTTAAAAGAAAAATAAAATAAATGAGGATTACCAATAAAGGTTAACTTTCTTAGACTTGCAACACTAGGAAAATATAGGGCATAATAAACCGGTAAAAGTTATCGGTAAATCATTATTTTCCTTTTTTATTAAAAAATATTTTTTAAACTTAATATAGGAGTTCAAAAGGAAAAAGAAACAATCAGAATTTTGTTGTCTCAATCAGAAAATGTTTCTGTGAAAAAAATTTTTTTTTGGTGCAAGTGACAACTCTAACTAGAATTTATTTTTATTGCGAATTAATGGCGTAGCCAGGTGAGTGTTCTTGTTTATTTCTTATTTCATTGTGTTCCATGGTTTTCAATTGTTTTGTCCAAATGTTTTTTGACGAGCAAAGTATTTATCCTCTTCAAAGTCAAAATTTTTTCAGCTAATCCGTTTTTATTATACGAAAAACCAATCTTACGAGTAATGAACACGTATTGGATTTGTTCCGAATTTATTCGCTAGTATCATTGTCATCACTTTCACTTTTCACGCTTTTTGCTCTATTCGTGGTTTTAGTGTGCATATACTGCATAGGCGCAGTCGCCATGGATGAGTGAGTTGTTCCTTTTGTTGATAATAATTATGTTCCTGTCTCATTGTTTCACATGAATAAATTATGACAAGGTTACTAACATCCTTAACAAAATTTTTAAATATCATTATAACGTCACCGCTTGCTTCTGTACATCACGTTGTTTATTAGCACCGCATTTTATACTACGAAATGTTTTGATTTTGCAGCACCATGTCGACCCTAACGAAAATGACCCGCACGGTAAAGAAACTGGAGGTGCCCAGACCCCTGAAATCGACGACTAGTTCCGCACATACCCGCAACTCTGTATTAGATGTGAAAATTAATTCTGGTAAGAATCTTATTAGGAAAGTCCATTTTTACAGCTTTTATTGTCAATTAAAAAAAATAGTAAACATTACAAGTTATTGAGGCCAGATATAAAGTTGGGTTTAATATGTGTATTTTGTTGCTGCAGTTGATGATCTAATAGTGCTGACGGAAGGTGTGGCATACCAGATGATGCAGGGGAATTTTGATCGTGCCCTCCAGAGCAATGTGGCTACCATGTACTCCAATCTCAAGCTTTATGGTGCCCAGCTCGAAGCACTTTACAAGGAGTTTCTTGATAGGTTGTTTTACTTTACTGAACTGATTGTTTTAGTTAGATATATATGGACAATCTAAGAAAATTCTAAACAAACAAACAAATATTCCAGATATTTTGTTGTATTCCGTAACGGGTCTCAGGATGAAAGATTAGACAAAAAAACTCGTCTCCATCTTCTTGAGTTAATAGAATTACGTGCAAAGCATTGGCAAGGATCTGATTATATGAGTCAATATTATAGACACCGTGGTACTCACGCTGAGGTAACATCTTACTTCATTGTTCGTTTAATAAGTATGGATGTATTTATAAAAATGATATAAATTTGTATGTTCAGCCACTGTTAGTGCCTACCATGGAAGGGTCGGGGTCGGGTGGCTCGGTGTCCCCCACGCTGGCTGCGCCTGCCGAGCCGCCCACTTTACTTGGCCCCGGTGAAGTCATCAAGCCATCTGGCAAATTTCCTAAGCCAACAAAAATACCGGGCAAAAACTATTCCAAGGATGAAGTTGTTATTAGAAATGCTGATTCTGGAAAAGGTTAGTGTAGTTACTATATTTTAAATTATCAAGGGATATGTATTAAAGCATGTAAACCAAAATATGTCAACATGTAGGTGTAATAGGGCATGAGTGGAGTCGAGATGCTTTCTCTAGTCTTATAAAAATTTTAATTACTAGTAAATTCTGTAGAAAGATGCATGGAATTAGATTTTTGTTTTGTTAAGTTTGTGTAAAATTTATGTTTGTATCAGTTCTCAATTGGGCTTATCTAGAATTGTTTAGTTTAATGTATTATGTGTTATATTTTTTTAAATAGCAGTTAGGCTGGCAACATTGTGGATGCAGTAAGTTGAAGTCTGTTGTGGTGTTACAGTGATGGGTATCAAGGGCAGACGGGTGCACATGATCGAGGAGATAAGTGACACGATAATATCGTTTCAGAGAGGTACGAAAGCACAGCGGACTGGGCGGCGCTTGCGCATGGTGTGGCGGACTATCGCATACTACAATTAACGCTTCCTACTTCTCTTTTGTCTACTTGTATATGTACTACTTTAGATGTGCTCATTTTAGGTGTTAACACTTTATGTATAGTGAAAACATATATCCATGTGTCAATTTAATGAAATAACAATATATTATACCATTGTTCTTAAATTAAAACTACATAATATTTTTAAAGTACTCACTGCCTATTTAATGCATAAAGCTTTCAGCTTCAAATATTAACAAACTGTACTAATTTTATATGATTTATGTTGTCCAGTATTAGAAGGGTACTTTCTGATTGCAGTGAGTCCAGGCGCCAAGGAGAGGCTTGTTCAAATCACAGGTCCTAATGAAGAAAATGTTAAGTGAGTATATCAGATTAATTTTTAAAAGTGGACATACAAGATATTTTACTTTACATAGTATACAATCGGCGACATTAATATGTTTAGATCTAGATTTTATTTGTTGTGTATGTTGTCAGTCACGCGAAGCACCTGATCGGCGACACGATCCGGCGCAACGCGTCGCCGGTGCGGCTGGAGGGGGCGCTGGAGGGCGCGCTGGCGGGCTCGCGCGCCTCGCTCGACTCCGCCGGCTCGGACGACGCGCCGCGCCTCGTGCAGCGGGAGGTAAACAGCACCGCACAACTACACACTGGCCCTATGTGTTTTATAAATAGAATGATTGACCTAAAGACAAAAATCCCATTGGAGTGATTGATAGGTTGACCGATTGGCCCTACACGAAATATCCGTACATGTTATGACAGTTTGGTCTAAATTAAATTTTTTAATTGATAATTGGTCATATTATTTTGTTTCTTTCCTTTTGGCAATAAATATCTATTCTATTTGGTTTTATAAATTTCAGAAGTCCCCTCACAACAACACTCGGGCATTGCTCCATAGCTTCTCAACTAACGACGCCGCGCTGGGAGAGTATAAGCACACTGTGACTTTTGGCCAACATTCCATTAAGATCACGGGCAACAATCTGGATCTTGTTAAAGTAAGTTACACATCACATATAGAGAACGATTAACTTATTAGTCTTCTCACTCTCCCTCTCAATGAGGTATAACTAGGTATACTATTATTCTGGGGTCGTGGTTGATCAGGGTAAGGGCCCTGACCGACTATCAAAACGATCCTGGGAAGACGGTGGTGACACGGAGATTTGAAGTGCCGAAGGTTCCGGTGTGGTCCTTAGAGATCCCGAAACCTTCGACTATGTCACTTGATTATGATGACTGAGAGGGTTTTAGTGTGTCAAATCATACATAACCGTGCCCTCCTCCTAGAGAGCAAGACATCTGGAAGATTTCTCACCCGACATCAAAAACAAACAGTGATATAGTGAAATAGGAGTTGACAGTAGTGTGTGTGTCAGACGGCGAAGCTGGTGTTGGACGAGTACTTCGAGAGCGCGGGCGCGCTGGAGGCGCTGGGCGCGGGCTCGGGGGACTTCTTCACGCTGTCGCAGCGGCCCGGCGCCGCGCTGCTGCTGCGCGAGGACGCGCTCAACGGTGACGATGATGTGTTCGCCCCCGCGCACGCGCACGCGCACGCCGACGACGCGCAAGGTAACACACGCAACAAACTACACTAGTGACAATAAATTTGTATGAGACGATTTTACTCAGATTAGAAGTAATGATTGTGGAATCAATAAATAATGTTTAAATTAAATTTTTAGTAATTCTTATGAATCCTATGGGACAGAAAACAATGTTACCATAATATAAGAGATAGTATCTGTTTAGAGAATTTGCATGTAATTTTAAAGAAACTAAAGGTTTTACAATTCTAAGTATGATATAGTTTGCATCCCGACTTTATAATAGCATGTCCGTAGACAAAGCTAAAAGCTAATTTTAGCGAACAGCATGATGGTGTGAACATGTAAACTGGGTTTGCGGGTTTTACATTTGGTCGGTTTACTTTAATAAACCGGTAGAGACTGACTGAAGCATGTAGCTTAAGTTTAGGTTCAATTTGAAATCGCAAATATATTTTAATTCATATAAATGTCATCCACACAATAATATCACTGTATACTGTTGTATTTTGGTCATATTATATTGTATCCATATGTATTTGTTCTATGTATTGTATTTCAAATTCATTGACATTTCGGTCCACGGCTACGGCTGGGTGTTTCCAAATTTTTTTTCTTGGATTTGATCATTTTAAATAACCATTTATTAATATTCATCGCCCGCCTATTAACACTGGTTATACAATTTCTATGTATCGTAAGTAACTGCCTGGGAAGAAGGTTGTTATAAAGAACGGATTAACACTGGTATTTTAAGAAAATAAGAAAGTGAAATGAATGAATAGAGTTTATTAAATCATAACACGCCATTAGTCACAGTTTTTTGGCATGTAAATCTTCAGATATGTTCAACAAAGACTTAAATGCTAATTTAGCTATTTGTTCTGACTTTTCTTTAATTCTGCCATAAAAGATAACGCGTTGTCATCGGAATCCATTTTTTAATTAAGCATTACACAATAAAATAAATAAAATCAATGAATGTGTCATGCCTATCAAAGTTTGCGAACCTCGAGGTAGTTACTTGTGAGTAGAAATTGTGTGTCATGTCGAGCGGCCGTGGTATCGTTTGGTGACGTGACGCCACGTGTGGTGACGTGCCGTGTGACGTGACGTGACGTCGTGCGTGTGTGCAGCGGCGGGGGCGGGGGCGGGGGCGGGGGAGGGAGAGGCGGCGCCGCGCCGGCCGCGCTTCTCGCGTGCCACCAGCACTGACAAGAACCAAGGTAAGATGACCTGCCGCCTCGTGACACATTATACTGTATAACATATCTACCAAATATTGCCATCCAATTGTATCAAGTACTATTTATGTTGACCGCATTTAAAGTCTCGTCTGTATCTTGTTAATGTATTCTCACAGTGTATTAGGGAACTGGCATGTATCATTTTGTCACTCCATAAGTCATCACTTATATCATGTAACTAGTATGCAGAAGTCAGTCATTAACAGCATATTGGATGTTGGCCCACTAACTAACTAACAATTGGAAATCGCTGAAATTGTTTTACCTTCTTATGTCTGTTTTACCTGAGTGTTATAAACTCCAATTATATTTGACAGCTTTATTTTTTTATTTAAATAATCCGATTGGTGAGAATTGATGTGTGAGAGTGCCATTGCTAAGCATGTGTTCCGTTCTTATTTTGCTAAATTTATGTCACAGCTTCTAAAACTACCTACTCCGCTTTGATTTTTTTACAAATCTTCTGGAGTCTGTACATCATGTATAGGAGTGACCTACAGACACTCTGGCGAAACCCTCGTAATTTCAATATTATTAATACGAAACCCCTTTTTACTTTTATTAATAATTTTATAACATTTAATTGAATCCAATTTTTCAACATGGACAAGGTAATTCAGTAGTAATAGGTGTAGAAATGAATGAGGAGAGCGTGTGCGTGTGTCGCAGGAGCGGCCGGCGCGCGGCAGACGTACACGTACGAGACGCTGGTGCAGTACGCGGACTCGCCGCTCAGCAAGCTGCCGCCCGCGGGCCTGGCCGGCTTCCCGCCCGAGCTCGTGCGCAAGGTAACGCCGCGCCGCGAGCCGCGCCACGCCCCGCACGCGCCCCACGCCCCGCCCCACGCCGCGCTCGCCCCGCCCCACGCCCCGCACGCCCCGCCCCTCTCGCAGCGCCTGCTGTCGCCCTTCCGCGTGTGGCCGCCGCTGCACCACCCCAACTATCTGGCCGCGCTGCTGTGCCGCAACTTCTACTGACCCGCGCGCCCCGGCCCCGCTTTACTTATCTTACAATGTTGCGTTTGCATCGTTTGCAGTAAGGTCAACTGACTCGTTGCGAAACAACAGCGCGGTGCGCATATTAATTCCGGATCTTTGCCGAATCCTTTCCTTCCGGCAGCACGGCGAGGCGCCGGCGGGCGGCCGGGGCGCCGCCGACCGGCCCTAGGACTCCGCTGCGACCTGCCCGCCTCCCTCTGCCCGCCTCGCGCCCCGCCCCGCCCACCCCGTCCCACCTCACCGCACCGACGGGTTTTTTTGATTTCAATTTAAAATAATTTTTACTTTGATCTCAAAAGGACCCCGACGCGATCGCTTTACGCACGCTTTTAATATAGCAAATTCGAATGTGTTGATATTTTTGGAAATGTCTTCCGATTTTGAAAATTGAACAGTTTTCCGGTTCTATGAATGCAACCGAGATTAACTTTCACCATATTTGTTTCGGCTGGAACACATTCGGATTGCCGCTGCCGGCATTCGGCGAGCCGCAGCGCCGCAGCGCCGCAGCGCTTCGGCCACTTGCGCCTGCTTTACTTTACTAATATATTAGCTTTAGACACCCTGAATGTATTGTGACGATGCTCATTAATGCCAAATATATTGACTAACTATTATACGATTAAAGTACAAACCCTGGGCTCGCATACTTACCAACGTATTTATCTAAGCTTTTCCTAAACTAAGAGTACATGATGTCATTATAAGATTAACATTACGTTTTACTAAGACTGAATTATTTAGTAATATAGAAATTACCTCAGAGCCCAAGGGTAATAGATTAGGCGTAACTTGGCCATTCTGAAAAGACGATGTTTCCAACAGACCAGTGATAGATATCCATCGCGACTGCTAAAGTGATAAAAGTTATTTAATTGCCAGTGAGACATTTAATAACTGAGAATGGCCAAGATATTTACTTAATTTCTTTTTAAAATTAAGGCGTAGATTAAAATCGACTTAAAGTTTATAAAACTGAGGACTTAGGTTTAGAGAGAAATTTAAAGATTTAATAATGATTGCAAGGTAACTAATATAAGTATAGTTAAAATTAATGTTGTATGTTGTATGTTGTTGTTGTGAGTGTGTAAGGTATGTAACAAATTGTTGTGTTGTTGCCGCGCGGACAGAACGGGTACTCGAGGGAGGTTCGCTACAGGTAGACTTGTATCCATTGAGCGGATTGAAAAAATATTGATCTCTGGTTATTGTCGAGGTGATTTGTATTGTTATGATTTACTTTAATTGTTAAATTCTTTTGTGTTATTTTACCGTTGTCAAATTGATTTTTTTCTAAATAAAACGTTAAAGCTATACGTTCTTTTGCTTGTAATTAGCTTACCTACTAACTTTTTCTAATGTCTGCACTCGTAATAACTCGTACTAAAGCTCGCTACACACATTTAGTTAACTATAAATTTTTTCCGCGGGATTATTGTCTACTAGCGTTTGATTTAACTCAACAATCCGATGCCTGTTAAAACTGAAGGTGTGTACCGGGTTTTGGGATTCCCACTACCAAAATACTCGAAAAAAGACATTGTTCTATTTTTTTATTTATGTAAACGATGCTGAGTATCAACTATTTTGTATGAGTGTTTCGACAGTGGGGACGCTTTATGCGGTGTACTGAACTTGAACAGCGCAGCTTGCCACAATATGGAAACAAAAGATCGTTGAAACAAGCACACTGCATGCTTATGCTTTTTATTTAAGTATATAGTACTGGGAATAAAAATACAAATGCTAATTTTTTCCTAAACTCTTCGATCATCGATGCTTTACAAAATTATTTGCTACAACTTCAGCTTTTATCCAGTGGTTAAGCGGCGATTGCATGAATTTGAATATGAACAACCACTCTTTTTCTGTTGTAAATAATATAATCTTTACTACTACGAAGCATGGATATAACGAATCTGCACAGGTTTGTTTGATAGTATTTTAGTTAGTTCAAAGATATGCTATATGGTTAAATTGATGACGTCATTTGTTTGATATTAAATATAGGTGCTGAAGTGTAAGTTAATTCGCTTTAACGCTATTATGATGCTCTTTCGTTTCTTTAATTGTACGTATTTTATATTTTCCGCAAATTCTAAACCTGCTTTAAGATTTCATTATTTATTCAATTTCTAAAGTATTGGTATCTCAATACTAACATATTTTTTGAAGTTATCGCTTGTGATAGTCGTAGTAATAAAAAGTCGAGTAGCAACGGCTATTAAACATGTATAATAGAGGTTCAATAATAATCTCGGAGCGTGGTATCCACAGACTTGCCTGGAGTTCGACAGCGTGAGTTACCTGCGCAAGGCGCGCGCGGCGGCCGCCACCACTGTCGCCGCACCCGACGCCCCTGACTCGCCTGAGCCCGAGTAACGCCCCGCCCACGCCCCGCCACGCCCCGCCCCACTACACACGCTCGCACATCACCAACACTATTTTGTTAGCAAAGGATGATTGTCAACTACATATGCTATAAAATTCTCTAATAACTAACTAAATTACTACATATTTTTATTTTAATAATAATGAATTCAAATATTGTTAATGTTGACAATCGTTCTTTGCATATTAGCATTGTAAAATAAACGCACGTAGCGCACATTACAATATTTTGTATTATCACAATGGTTTGGTCGATTTTTTAATATCACAATATTGGCTAGGCTATGCCGGCGGTAAAGGCAGCTAATAATGTCCTATTAGTCATTTACTATTAGAGTACTCGCCAGCATGCGATCATTCTTTGTCTCGACGCATTTTATGGTTTTATAGCTTCTAAAAACATTTACAAGCTGTGACTGATCAACAATGTTGTTTTGGCAGCCGTCCTTAGTTGAATTCTTTTCGCTTTACGTTATACTAATTTAGCGGACTTAATTTACTAAAAAGTATTAGCTCACCAAAATATTTTATTTATATAACTCTTTTTATTTAGTTAAATGCGGATCTATGGGAAATGTGATAAATATCTCGTATATTAAAAAGTCCGTGATAAAAAAATTCAAAGTTTAGTATTGAGTAAGTGGTAAACGCAGTAAAGCGTTTGTTTTTAAAATGCTGGAATCACATAGACTTCAATGCAATGCGGCAATTTTCCTACAATATGGAATCACGTTATACGATACAGAGATAAAAAAATCTGTTTATTTAAAGATTACTGTATGCAAATTATAAATAGCTTGCTTTATCTACAATAGAACAAATATTCATCGATATATAATTATTTACCTATCGTGACTCTGCTTTTTGTAAATATTGACTCGTTAACGAACGTCATAGATTCCATTTAATATAAGATGAATGCGTGCATTTCTCTGAGTGACTGTACTCTCATATATATTTGGTTAGCGTCTAGTCCGGCCACGTACGTGTCGATTCTCACTACTATATAAGTTTTTATATACAAAAGAAGCCTGGCGATTTTATTTAAAGAATGATTATTATTTTTTTGTTTTTTATTTTATAAGAATTGAGTTTATTTCAATGAAAATGTATTTTAAAAATTTTGCTGTGCAATGAACCAAATAAATTGTTACAAATTTATACGTTTGCCAGGCTTCGTATTATTTTTTTCTAAGTTATGTTGAATATTTAACTAAAGTAAATGGTATTTTGTAAAGACTGTTCATGTTTGTAATAATATGAATAGAGACGTAGCAAATGTGTAAATCGCAGCTACTTCATGTATATAAATGTTAAAAGCATCGGTTACCTATTTTATTATAAATATGTTTTAAAAATGAAATTCTTTTAAAACTCGTATGAACAGGAATTTAAAATTCACATATAAATCCGGTGCTCTGTGAAAGTATTATGAGTCGTTGATTTTAAACAAATTTTAATGTTCTTTTGTTTTGTCAAATATATAAAGGCTATTATTTGAGAATTATGAATATACTAAATTTTCTAATAAACAAACTTTGTGTTTTATTCAATCCATATCACAGTCCTCAGTCCGTCTTTTTTCGTCCGTCCGTCTTTTTTCTATAATTTTATGTAATTAAAACAGCGCATTTACTATAAAAATTATATTTAAACTGATACAATAAATATGTTATATTACATAATATATATTAGCGAGAAAAAACTATTACATCGAAATTATTGGCAGTTACTACAATAAATATTTACATTTTATGTCTAAATGCAATTAATCTTAACAATAAATGGTTTTTAAATACAATTAGGTATTAACAAATCGAAGCAATACTGGTCTGTGAAATCAGGTTTAATTTTAAAGAATAAACAATCCAATTTTAATAGAAAAATCGAACTGTTAAGACGAGCAATGTCACTTTAACTGTCAAACACGTAAGTTTTTTTTACATGTTTACAAAAGAGAAAAACAGTCACTTTTTCGCCACAATAGCGAAGCGATGCCCTAGACATAGGCAACAGTAGTATAAAATGTACATTTCGACTATTCAGTTAAAATTGATGTGTAGTAGACCAAATACATAAATGGGTTTAGCTGAGGTCAATATATGCCTTATAATAATAAACCTAACATTTGTTCAAGCTAATAAATTTAAAACATTTTCACTTAAATATAACACAAATTCAACATAGAATATTTAGGGATACATCGTAAATATTTATGTTACAAAAATTGTCTGGTTTAGGGTTAAAAACTCAAATTATCTTTAAAAAAAAAATTTAACGATAAACCAAAGATTCAACATAGACCCGAAAAATGGCTAATTGAGTACAATCGCGGAAATCCACGGTGTTCCACTTTAGAAATAATTGCCTTATCCATTGCAACTAGACAAACTTCGCATCTCCCTACAAATAACTAATTAGCAGTGAGTGCAAACGAAAGGATAACAAAAAAAATAGGCGATGTTCAATAATTGTAGTTATTAAGATGGAGCATCGCCAGTTTCCCCGACTGTACATAAATTCATAATTTTGTTACACTTCAAAGCTTTTCTTAGGTAAATTTTCCGTGTGCCCTACATATAATGGGGTCAATAGACAAACTAAGTTTGCTGTATTGAAAAAAATATTTATCGCCAAGCCTTTGATCTCTTTAGAAATGTTATTGTATTCTTTAAATAGTACAAGTATATAGCTTGTTCAAACATTTACAAATTGAACATAGATTTTAAGCAATTATTGTCCTAAGACATTTATTTTATTCATGCTTTTAAAATATCCAGAAGTCATAAGATATAATTATACATCCGCAACCAAATTACTTTTTAATTGATATTTCCTTCATATTCCAGATTTTTTTGTCAGCTAAGTTGACGTCATTGTCAATATGATAAACTTTAGGAGACAAATTTCCTAAATTTAGTAACGCGCGTTAACTTTATGCAGTAAACTAGTTCCTTTCGGAGAGTTTGTCGGTGATGTTGGCCACCCTGGACCTGGCGTGCTGCAGGATGTCCTCGGCCAGCTCCTCGTCGTTGGTGTACCTGCACTTGGTGAAGCTGAAGAGGTCAGTGATGAAGCCGACGACCTCGGTGCGGAAGGCGTGGCAGATGTCGCGCAGGCGCTCGCGCGGCCCGAGGAAGCCCCACACCAGCACCGGCAGCAGGTGCTCGGAGATGGAGTAGAAGTGCGACATGAACCCGTCCGGGTACTGCAGGTAGCGCCGCTTCGCTTTGATCACTGACCACACCGCCGTCGTCAGAGCCTACGTATACAATAGTAATAAAAAAACATAGTTTCAATTGTTTTTATCGACCATAAAAGTACTCTAAAGGCCTTAACACCTCTTATAAGCCATTCCTAGCACAAGCCTAAAGCCTATAATGGTAGTATAAATTTTACTTGACAAAAAAAAAGAACTGGTAATCATACAAATATGATTACCTTAAATGATAAGATCACGCTTAAACTCCAAATTCATTTCCTTGAGGTCTGACAAATTTTAAGCTGCACAAGATTCGTTTCAGTAGTTGGCTGAAAGCGACTCAACCGAAAGGTTTCTAATGATTCCATTTAGCTAAGGATTAAAAAACGTGTCGTACGCTCTCCTTGAAGCCATCGGAGAGCCAGCGGTTGCGCACGACGGCCAGCACGGAGGAGGGCGGCGCCGCCAGGTCCTCGAACGCGTCCAGCAGGATGTAGTCTAACACCACGTCGTAGAACGACAGCACCTAAACACCACCTCACAATATACATATTTTGGTAAAATAAATAACCTGCTTCCAAAGGACCATTTTTCTATTTGATCATCGAATACGATACTTATGTCAACTAAAATTAGCAAAACAATTATTGAAATCTTCTATATGAAAGTTCGATTAGTTTTGAAAATTCTACTTACCTTTACTCCCTTACTAGTCAATTCTTTTTCTATAGTTGACCAATTAGCGGCGTCCGTCGCCCATGACACCATTTCTTCATATGCGACTAGAAATTCTTTCGGCTCCTATACAAAGAAATACAATTCTATAACATACGCAAATATGTGTGTATGTCGTGTTCAACGTTTGAGAAACTTGCCTTGTCAGCGAAGAGCAGGAGGTCAGTGAGGACCTGTCTGCCGGCGTCCACGAACCAGGCCCAGGCGGCGGCGTCGCGGAACACGCGGGCGCTCGCCGCGCGCAGGCACGCCAGCTTGCACAGGAACTCCGAGTCCGAGCCGCACTGCACCACCTCCGTACGCAGAGTCCTCACAACATACACAGTAACTTAAATAACTGTTAACTTAAATGCATGATGATGCATGTACGTCACTTTGTCATTTTGAAAAAAAAAAACCTTTACTTTCTCTTAATCTATGTTCAATTTACTAGACATTTCAATTTGTGGTATTTAAAAAAAACAATAATAATCAAGGGTTAAGATGTAACTTTTTAGAACATTCAGTTCTAAACTTCATTTAATCATACCTATACGGAATACCGGCTTCCAATTGTTTAACAGCACTCTGATAGAGTTCCAAATTATCAGTTTCCGTCGTCTCTCCGAAGTCGTCCAATTCCCTCAAATCTGCCACCTTAGCACAAATATAAGAACATTAACAACAATGAATTAGTATTAATAATAGTACATTCAAACATCACAATTGTACCTGATCTTCAGCGGAGGCGAAAGACTCAGCACTGGAGTGCAGTTCCCTTCGCGTGTGCGTGTGGGAGGAGCCGGAGTGCGCGTGCGAGAGTAGCCGCGTGCGCCCCGCACCAGCTCCGGACCCAGCCCCCGCCCCCGCCCCCGCCTCACCACCACTCTCAGAACGGAACAGCACAGAGCGCTGATCCAGAAACAGTAGCTCGCAGCGCTCCTGCAATACAATAATTCATCTATTTCTGGCAGATGTTCTTGTTATTAATCCTCATAGTTCCTGCTGGAATTATGTAAAACACTGCCTCCTACAAGACGGGCCTAGAGCTTAGTGTAGGAACCAAGCGCTCGACCATTATTTGTTAAAACAAATTTTAGTAACAACTTCATAAATCAATCTTATAATTTCTACATTTTTAATCTGTAAAACACTGTTCCTACAAGGGGAGTCAGGACCATTTCTTTCGAAAAAAAATCTATTAGAGACCAAGAACGAAAATGGTATTTTTTTTGAAATTCCATCATCGTAATCTGTTGTCTTATAAGTTCTACAGACCTGTAATAGGTAAGCGTCCTGCAGCAGGTCCTGTATCTCTCGGCAGAACTCCGCCTCCTCTGGCGAGGTGAGCGCGAGCGTGCCCGACACGCCGCCGCGCGCGCCTAGCGAGAACGCAGCCAGCGCATCCTCCCAATAGTTAATACTCGTCTCCAACGCCTCCATGCCTAACGAAAAACCAGTTATTTGTACATTACAGTAGTAATTATTAATAATGATCCGATCTTGAACCATTATCACTAGCTCATTATACATCCCCACTGATGGATAGGAGCCTATCATAAGATAGGATGATCCTGAATGTTGTGAAATAATAATAGAAAAAAGTTATGTTCTTATTTCAGATGTTGCTTGGTACTTCATATCCTCATGGAATTAAAATAAATACTTATAAACATAGACTATGTTAGTAAGTGGTAACATAGCTTTTTATTGGTGATATTTTCTAATACCCAGTAGCTTTTGTGGTATTTCAATACATACAAAAATACAAATCTTTCCTCTTTATAATATTAGTATAGATTTGTGTTAAGATTATTACTATTATTATTATTACTATTACCTTGTTTACACTTTATTTCCTCAAGGTTGAAATAAATTCTTCATGTGCATGGCTATAAAAACTTTAATGTCTATTACTTAATTCATATAAAACTATTTCTATACATAAATTGGTATACATAATGGTATATGTAGGAACTATTGAAACGCCATCCAAACTTATCTATAAAACACATCATTTTTCAGACCAGGTTCACTAGGTATTAAACGCTGTAAAGTATCTTGTAAGCCGCTATTTAAATCTTGTAATGTCCCAGCAATAGCAGATAAAGCATCTGCCATACGATTCTCTAGTAACTTGCGCCTTTCTTCTTGTACTAGCATTATATTTGATATAGAATGTAGTGCTTCTGCTATTCTCTCCTCCGCTGATATCCTTCGTTCCTCCAACTCTAAGGCCCATTTTGGTGGAGACTCATCGGAGAAAACATCATCTGTTAAAATTAAATAATTCAATGTAAAATGTCTGAAATTTTAAATACCTTCTTTTAACTTAGTGCAAATCAACAACTAAAATGAGTTAAAAAAGACATAATATTAATTAATTTGCTCAGAAATGTATTCTACTTAACTATTTACATTTTCTCACTGAATATTATTATTAAGTGATAGTAACAATATTTACATAGACACAATAAATATTCTATAAATTATGTTATTGTATTTTTACCTGTGTTAACTTTTGTAGCACTGACTGATCGCTTTACTCTAGCAACGGGTTTTGGAGTGTCATCAATCATTTGCTGTTCTGTATCAGAATCTTCAGCCATAAAGTCCTCTATTTGTTTTGTATTTGGTTTTGATGATGTCACCGATCCCTTCCCGCTAAGCTCTAAAACTCTCACTTCTAAATCATTAAGAGGCACAAATCTATTTGTACCACCATCTGAAGTTGACTGAAATCTGCGGCCATCTGCTGCTTTTCTCCTACATTTGTGTCGCCATTCAAACCAATACTAAAAAAGCAATTTTAATTGAGAAAAATAGTGTTTATAAAATAGTTTATAGAAACTGAGATAGCAACTAATATTCATGCAAGTCGTTTTTTGTTTATTTTCTATTGTTCGTTAAAACATCTTAAAAAAAAATTCTTGTCTGCGTTATAAAATAAATGTAAGTTTCACTTACTTTCTTCCAACCGTCAGGAGTCTTCAAGGTACCACTTTGCACCGCATTTAGTTTCTTAGCCAATTCTGACCACTTCTGTCTAGTTGCATGGTGTGACACCGGTGTGCCAGGAGGCAAGCCTTTAGACATGTCTTTATTTTCTTCCAAAAAGTCCATTAAAATCTCCAGCTGTTGCCGCAATATTCTTCTTGGTGGTGCCATCTTGAACACCACGATAAATGATAATTAATTATAAAAACACACAAAACAGAGTATTTTACTAAAACGATGCTCATTTAATACCTTACCTTTGTATTCTTGCCTTTGCGATAGTTTAAAATCCAAGGTCAAACATCCATCTCAATTTAAAAACAAATACAAATCTCGCGCTGTTTGCTTGACACAAGCAATTTCTTTCAGCAGAAATCGCAAAAAGTATATGTAATGGCGACAAGCGCTATGACGTTTCCAGTCGTCATGTTATCAATTATCATACACATTCAACAAACACATTCGATAACGTCTATACTAGAGGCGCCAAAACAACGTGATATTCTGCGTTCTGTTTCAATGTTACTTATTTTAAAATGTAGATGGCACAGTTTGATATATTAACAAGAAAACATTGTAACGATCGCATTTTATCTTTATTTGTGCATTTAAATAAAAATGTCTAATTCCGTTCGTAATAAATACAGCTTTAAAGTAATAAATGATTGATGATTGATGATTAACTTTGATTTAACTAATTTGTATGCTGACATCTAGCGATGAAAAGCACTAATGTTGAAAAAATTCATCACAGTGCCATCTATACACTGATGGATGGAACGTTTTATAGCAGAGTTCAATTTCTTAGAAAAATACAACAAAACAATTTTTAAATAGTATTCAAAAACATGACAAAACAGAAGGAATGTATTAAATTAATACTGATAAAAAACTAAAACCTCTTAAAACCATAACAAATTGAGTAAAACTCTAATAAATGATTAAAGTTAGCGTAATAACAGTCAGAAGGTGAGCCAGTCTGCCGCATGTCGGCTTACCTTTACTGTAATTAATTTTTATGATATAAAATTACTCATACTACCTAAATACGATTTAGATTTTCTGCTACAGAAGCAATTTTTTACTGAGAACTTATTTTTAAATAATGAAATGTAGATATATTATATTTACTAATGATTTTTACCTCATTAACTCCATATCCAAGAATTTGTTAAGAAAAATTTCCCAAGATTACCCACGAAATATAAAATAGATTAATAATTAATGTTTTGGAATATAACTTCATGGGAACCAAGAATTAAATGTCGAAACATTTGACTTTTCACTCGATGCGTTTTCAATTGATAGGTTGGTCATAATTTATGTGGGCATTTTAATCCAACTCGGAACGATTTATTGCAGTCACGACTGTGCGTAAAATTAAAAACGGAAACCGGCTCGTGATGGCGTCCAACTTGGTACTTTATGCTAAATTATTCTAATTTTATGATTATTACAAATTCATAAGGAAATATAATAAGACAGTAATGATAACTCTTGAGTAAACTAACCTAATTTTTTATGTTAATTACAAAGATTTTTTTCTATGAAAAGACGAGAGTGATAACTGCTAAGAAGAAAGCTATCTATTACTTCTTCATGCGTTTTTTTTAAACTACTAGCTTACGCCCGCGACTCCGTTCGCGTGGGATTGAAAAAAAAAAACAAAACTGAGTAGCCTATGTGTTCTTCCAGACTATCCTCTACATCTATGACAAATTTCATCGAGACACATTCAGCCGTTTAGGCTACAAACTCTAACAAACATCCATCCTTTCTTACTTTCGCATTTATAATATTAGTAAGTATATAGAGTATCAACTCTCATCGTAAAACAGTTTCAACACAAATACGAAGTAACTTAAGGTAGTCATTTTTATCACCGACCACACATTCGATTTGACCTCACGTTAGAGCTGACCCACACGCCTGTGTATTTTCGTATATTATAATTATAGTATCTTATACATTTAAATAAGTTACTCAATAGCTAATGTAGTTTATGGACCTAACACTTTGAATTATCTAAAACAATTAATTACGAGAAAGCTCATTAGTGTTCTCAGTCGGAGTTTCTCCATAAAAACATCCTGTTTAAGGTTTTTGTGGGTTTATTGTTATACATGTTGTTTTATTTCAGACAACGGAAACATAATACTGATACTTAGAGGAAATCGCACCACTTCCGCTTGTATTTAGTCGTCAAAAACCAGTACCAAAACAAAATCAACATAATATAAGTCAACTTCCCGAAGGATATGGGGGTAAAAACCACTTCGATAACCACTACACAATATCATAATATATTAGAGGGTCAATCGGCCACAAAGTACAGAAATTCAACTGATTTATAAGATCTAAGTTATAAAAGTTCGTTAGAACAAGCTTTTCAAACGAATACTAATTGTAAAATCGCTTATCGACCGCTGTATACCAAATAATCCTAAATGTTAGAGAAGGGTAACCCTTTTTACACACGATTACATTCGAAAATGGACTTGGGCATACTGAAAACCATCAGATAAAAAAAATTAGCTGATTGTTACCAGGGCACTTTTCCACAAAGCACATGACGAATAAAATATAAATGTACATTTGAAGTAAAATGCAGATGAATTAAAAAGCGTGGAGGTTCAAATTTTAACGGGCGGTATATTCCGGGGCGTTATGAACGCTCCCGCTGTCCGCTGTCGCTCGCGTCTCGCGCAGCGCTCGTTGAGCCGCGGGCAGCCGGCATTCGCCATCGCCAGCCGCCAGTCTACGGGAGCCTCCGCACTGCGACGGTGCACTCCACGCTCCTCTCCAATATCCTATTATTTACCCCCTGACCACCGTATCACGCATTACGTGAATACCCCACTGTGTTGTTTTATGTGCCAGTGCGACTTTGTGTGAACACTACCAAAAGCTTCTCGGGTCTTTATCCCGCGGTTTTTATTGACGCCAGTTTTTAAAAACTACAGGTAAGAAAACATTAAATGGATATAGGTTTGATAACATAGACTTTGTCTCATTTAAATAATTTAATAAATGATTTTTTTAAAAATACATAAATGGGACCCAAAGAAAAAGTTTTCTGTTCAGTTCTGATAACATGAGGAAAATTTTACGATTTACCTACCTTGTGAACTTAAAAAAATCATACCCATCGTTATGATTTTAATTAGGTTGTATCAAATATATACTAAAACAGTGTATAAGTTTAGTGTACTTAGAAAAGGACCTCCTAACACGTTTCTTTTAAACCGGTTCGCTCGATACACGTTGTCCCGCCGCCAAGACTTATGCAATGGACAAATGAATCTTCAACTATCACGAAATACTTCTCGGAACAAGATTCCCATGAGAACGAAGTACTGCTATAAAATTCTGAAGTAACTGGATGCAGGTAAAGAATTAATAAGTGAAGTAAACAAATAAATTATAGTGGTAACGCGCATTCGACGTGACTTGCGTGCTAATGTTCGACGGTTACACATTCTTTGCGAAACATCTGCTTGTAGGCAAAAAAATTAATGATAATAGCGCAAATCTACAGCTGCGATGTCCACGTGACAAATTTCACAAAATCTAATTATTTTAGTTTCAGTATTTTCATGTGATTTTGTTTTTTATGTCACAATTCTTTAAATTACTTGCGACGATATCCGATGGGAAATGTGATATCGCCCGAACCCACAATTTAGAATATCTCATATCCCATCTCGGAAAACTTAGGACCTAATCTCAAGCTGGCAGTGTTTAAACCACCTCTTTAGTTTTTAACTTAAAACTAGTATAGTGCTCAGGAATAAATACAAAGCTACGGAAATAACAGTCAACGAAGCAAAAATATTCATTACATAAAGTATTTTGGCAAAACACGAAATAATAAGTTAACTTATATGAAAAACTGTAACTAAGTTTTTATCAGCGGAATAAGAATTGGTTTTTTGCAATCTTCCTGTTGACTGATAAGAAACGTGTTCAAATAAAAAAAGAAATTCGGAATGTTAAAATCATTTAAGTTGCTATTTTAAACATATATACGTGTAAGTGCGGTATATTCAAGCGCGGTACAGGGACATTTAATTTAGTAAAATTATCTAGCAAAGTCACTGATTACCGACATTATTTTCATTAGTACTTGTCTTCTGTGCATTATTAATACAGGATAAATTAAAATTTTTTTTTAAATATGCTTATTATATCTAACACGAAGAGTTATTCTGATATTTTCCTTTATTGTTGAGCGCATAGTTCGTGATATAAATATTAAGTTAAGGATAAGAATTGAAAATGACTCAATACCTCAGTTTTGGTGCCATACTTTAAGACAAGAAGTCCTTTATAAAAATCATTGTCACATAAAACCTGACTGACTTCAAAATGTGGTTTTAATTGTTAACAAAATCAATCATATATTTCGACAGCCAGCATATCAGGTTATGTAAATATGCTCCAATAGATATACTTGTACTGTCGAAAGTGTCCGTCATGTTGTTGGTGGCTCATTTCCCATTCCGACACAACCTGCCAATATCGATACGTATCTAAATCGATGTACTGCCTGCAAGATCATTGAACTTCGAAGTACACCCAGCTCTTATTATTAGTTGGCACAATTTTAATCGTGTCAAACCACTTGGCAGCGAATTCATTGTTTTCAAGTTTGATCTTTCACATCGTGGCTCCGTGTTAAATTGAATCGACGTACAAATCCGTGTTAAGCCGGGCCCGGGATGGCCTAGTTAGTGGGGCAGGCGATGCGGCGACATTTCGCGATGGAATAAGTAGGCGCGTCGTCGGCCGGAAAATTGTGGCAATTTTGCAGAGGGGATCCCTCTTGAACATAATCAGTTTAATAGCCAAGCGAAGGAAATATGCTATCATACTCCGAAGAGGGCGAAGGAGTAAAGTATTGGATAAATCTCTTTACTTTAAAATTGGAACGGAATACGGAGATTCTAAGACTTTCGTTGTTTAAGATCTAAATTGTACTTTTGTATGAAATACCAAAGTAAAATGTGCCAGCATTACTTACTACATGAAGCCAAACATGAATTTCATTAGAGTGAATCGAGTGTAGCTCGGGTTGTGTGGCTTATGTAAATGGTATTGTTGTGACATCATCGGCCATCGCCGGCCGCCGAGGTAAATGTTGTTCTTGCAATTTCCGCGGAATGGGGTTGACTCCCTTGAGCCGGCGCAAATTGGGGAAAGCTTTCCGTAATATAGACGTTTCAAATATGACCCACAAGGGTGTTTTTAGGTCGTGTATGTGACGTAGATGTAGGTTTTCTCTTGGTAGATTAACAAAACTGCATAAGAGAAATTAAAAAAAACCCACGATTTTTATTAAGTAACAAAAACCCATTATTGTTTAACATTGAAGGTTCGAAAGTCACTAGTAATCGCTGCATGTATTAATTCAAAGATATTGATGTGGTTATAAAAAATGAATATGATTTGTTTTCGACAAAGAGTATAATAAATACGTTGAGCTTATATCACTCTTGAATAATTTATCAAAACATGTACACAGTAAAGAACTGATTGCTATGCAAATTGAGTGGCATAACATTACGACCGTCTTGAAGTAACAAAATCATGACGTAATACAATAATCGTTGGCGACTAACGCGTAGTACTGAATGGGGGTTAAATCTATAGTAGTGTAAGGAGGTGTTCTGGTGGAAGAGGTTGGCAAGGGGCTGTACGGAGGGCGATTCTCGTATTCGTATGCAGGCCGGCGGCCGCGATCGATACGCGCCCGCGCGACGACGCCGCCTCGCGCCCGCTCCGGTACCAACACGCGCTAAAGGGAATTTAATCAAATCCTATTTCTGGATGTCAGCTTAAATAAATATACGATTTGTATATATTTTCTTAGTGCATCTGTCGAACATTATCTAATCTAAAGCTCGAGAGGAAGTTGGTAGGGAAATTGCAAAGGAACAAAAACAAAGAGTAATAAACCAACATCCTTTATGCGCGTTTATAATGTATTTGTACTGAACATGGTTTAGCTAGTTTTTTTTTACTATAACAATTAACTTTACACTTACACTACTTCAAAGACTATTTGTCGTCGTTCATAAGAGCAAGCGATAGGTACAGTTTTTATTGAAAATAGGTAAACATAGACAACTTAAAACTAGTTTTGATGGATAAATACAGGCATTAGAGTAACATGTCTGTCTAATCTCAACATCTGTAATTGCTTCACAATCAGTTTCCACTGACAGAGCCGTGACATTATCCGGAGCTAAGAGACGAAGGGTATTATTTTCCGGCCATCAAGCACCATTTGAAGTGGTAAACGCTATTAGAACTGGAAGAACTTTCTTAACTTTCGAACGTGGCCACTCCTACGCTGCATACCTACGACTGCATTTCAAATGCTCATACGATAATGGGATAATAAAATAAACACGTTGAATTTAGTTAATTAACGGATGTAACCGAGTTACGGTTATAGAACGTTATACGTTAATGATGACATCATAAGCGAGGTGGGGGGCAAAAAAGAGTGTCTTGTCAAAGTGAGGAGCGAGCGAGCGGCTCGCCCCGGCCAATGACCGCGTAGCCGTGATCTTCACGAAAACAACTAGCTCAGCTATTATCCAACCGAGCGCAAATATTCCTATAAACGTACTTGCTACAGATTTTTTAAAAAAAGTAATGATACTTTTTCTGCCAGATGTTTAACCATTATTAGATTATAATAAAATTGATTTTGATAAAAGTTATAAGGCATTATTAATGGGAACTTCAGAATTATACTTTATAATACGAATGTTAATTAAAATAAATGTGATGATAATATCATATAGTGTAGTGCGAAACGAATTGTCTGATTCAATCATAAATAGAGATTAGACGAAATAACTTCGAGTGAAAAGAGTAACATTGTTGGACAAACCTTAATTAAAAACGTAAAATCAAAAAACTCACTGCTTTAATAGAAAAGTATAAATTAAATCAGAGATATACATATGCATATGTAGATTCGATTGATATCCATTACGTACCGATGTTCGCAGTGAAACGCACTAACTGGCGACTAATAGCTTAATGCACTGCCGGCGGTTGTTTGACTGGCATTGGGGAGCCGGGGGAAGCAATCACTGCGAGGAAATTTTGCAAATAAACTGACACGGACGGCATACAAAAAGTGTCTGAATCTGATGCCGTGCTTTAAGTACCTTGATTTAGTAACTTCATTAAAATACCAATTTTAATAGGATGCTAGAAAAACACTATTGTAAAATATAAACAATAGATTATTAGCGTCAGAAGTTACTTGGAAATAGTCCATATTGTTTTTTAACTTCCTGGTATTGTCTAATAATTTAGAAAGATTAGTCACGGTGAGTGTCATTCTATTAGAAACTGGATTGATTCATCGATTAAGATTATTTGTCGACTAATTAATTTATATTCGTTCTCAAGAAATTCTAATTAAAAGGTTGAGCTAAACTTAAATAAATATTATCAGCATGCTTGTCTGTGTTGAATTGCAGCTGAACCTTTTGAGTTTCTACCATCTAAAATGTAAATCAATAATTCCAATTAAAGGGAGATCAGAAGTCTCGTAGAGAGAGAACGGCGTCTATTGGGTGAATGCAAAACCCATTGCAGATTGTTAAGCGTCCATTGTTTATAAGCGCAACAATGCAATGTTTTGCCACGCCACACATAACTGACACAGTAGAAATGCTTATTGTACGGGATATAGCAAGAATTTATTTACAACATAAAAGTACAGGCGGCTTTTAAGCAATTTTACTTTTTTTTATAAAAGTGCGGATATATTTGGCTTAAAACTGCTTTACAGTTCCTCTATCCCTTCATTGATAAATGAACAGTTTTTACAAAATACTTTTAGTGCGTGGGTACCTGAATATCTTTATAATATTTTTTTTACCTCGGCCATTGATCCCGAGTTTTGGAAGAGCCATGTCTGAACAATGGCTAGAGC